ACTCACATGATATAATAACAGACTCAGTTGTGTATACTTGTCTATTAATATATAGTGTATTATTAATTTTATGATGTGATCTTTGTGTTACATAAAACACACTGTGCAGACTATAAAACTGTGAGTTAGCTATTGTGTTTATTAACCAGATATCAAACCAATTAATATGTCATACACAAATTAATTATTATCATTTTAATTTTATAGATTAATCGACCAGTCAATGTCACTAACAGATACTGGCATTCTCTCTCAGTGTGGAGTGTGACCCCAACTACTAACTGGATAATTGAGTTTGGAGGATGGACCAATTACACTGATACAGCAGTTATTGAACTGAGTAAGTACATGTAGACAGTAGTAGATACAATGTGTATTGAATATGTAATGATAATTAGTAATGATAATATTAGAATAAAGTAAGTAATTCTTATGATGAATATTTAATGAGAGCATTTGACGTATTCCTATGATACTAATTATTACCAATTGATTCCTGCTATGTACAATAGTGAAATATAATGACTGCAGATACAGAAACACTGATATTAATAGGAGCTAGAGTGAATGAAATATTATTATCAGTGTATTTATATACAATAATATGTTCATGTGGTTAACTGTGTAAACTGACAGAGGTCACACATACAATGATTAAACATGAATCCATCAATAATAAGGTTACCATAGTAACTAAGTGTAATTAATTTGTGTATTTCTTATTCTCCACTATTTTGTTACTGTATAGGATATACTAGTGATAATGATTGGTCTACTAGTGTAATACCTCTGGACCAGTATCAAGATCAACTAAGAAGAAGGATACTGAGTGATTGGGAGAAATTAGGAACAGAAAAACAGCTTCAAATATTTCAAGATCATTTACAGTTAAAAAAAGAAAGAGATTTTTATGAGGAACAACTTCAAATATTTCAAGATCGCCTGCAATTACTGAAAGAGAAGGAATTCCGCTATCAGGAACAGCTTCAAAGAGAAATAAAAGAGAAGGAGCAGATACAGCAAGATCGTGACAAAGAGCAGCAACAGCTTCTTCAAGAAAAGGCAACACTTAGTCAGCAACTTGATGATGCTACCACTCTCCTTGAGCAAGCAGAAAAAGATAAATCAAGTCTTGAATTAGGTACTATTGTATTGTACTGTTGTTTATGTGTACATTGTTTACATTATGATACTAGTGGATTAGACAATG